GATTGGTTGAAGGGGAAGCAGTGTGTGGCCCTGGAGAGAGCAGTGTGATGGTGGAAAGCAGGTGTGACAGAAGATGGAGAGCCGGCCTCCAGAATCCGCTACGCTTTCCGCTTTGCCTGTCCGTGTGTTGCCCAGGTGACGAGCCTCTGGACCCTTCTCTCCTTGGCTGCTCACCATTCTTGTTGGGTGACTTAGGAAGTCATAATGTAGCCTTTTATGGGTGACGAAGGTGGAGCGGCGACTTTGGTGAACGAAACACAGCCACAGCAGCCTTGTGTTGCCTAGACAATGTTATGTGGTGACAATGATGTCACCTAAAGCCAATATGGGACCCAGTTCTACTGATGCCTAAGTCTTTCCTTGTCTGCGCTCACACTCAAGAAGGTGCTGGAACAGAGCTGGTTGCTGAGGGCCAAACACCTGAAGACACACTAGAAACCATTGTTACCCGTGGATTCTGACGCCATGGCGAGGGCCCACAGACACGGTCTTTTGGGATGATATCAAGACCCTGGGACCTGCCCTTCTTGGCATCCACACCCTGTACAACTCCTTTCACATGGTACCAGGGTGATCTGGGTGAAAGGATAGGGCAAGAAGGCTGGCATGTCAGAAACAGGAAGCGTTGGCATCCATCTTGGGCTCTTTCTTCTTGAATTACTGCACTAAAGGAAACCAGCCTGCGTGTTGTGAGGTCAGTCGGGCAGGCTGTCTGAAAGCCATCTTCATGGAGGGATGAATTTCTAGTCAGCAGCTAGGAACAAGCCTAAGCCTTCCCACAAACACATAACCAGATGTGAAAGAAGATCCCTCCCTAGTCAAGTCTTCAAATGATGGACACATTCCTTGATAGGGTGGCTACAATTTCAAGGAAGGCTGGGAGCCAGAACTGCTTAGTTGCTTCAGCATTTCTGGTCCCCAGATATTCTGAGCAATTACAAGATTATAAAAGCTTAGTATTATAGCCTGCCAAGTTTGGAAGTATTTGTTACACACCACATGGTAACCGATGCACCCACGCTACATGCTTTAAGGCATGAATGAGAACTGGCAGAGGA